CCGCCCCTGCCCCCACCCTTGCACCTCCCTATCCAGTTCTACAGGGAGCACAAGGAAAACCCAGCATTACTGCAGCATTCATCATACACTGGGGCGAGCTGCCAGGAAAACACAAACCTCTGACCGTGAAAACAATTAAACCAGCTACAACCTGCCTCGGAATAAGGAAAGAGAGGGATACCATCTCCCTGCACACTCCTGCAAAATGGGGCAGATGAAGCTTCTTTAATTTGCCAAAGGAAATTCAGAGTCTTTCCTTCCCTCTTCCATTCAGCAAATTGCATCCTAAAAATATTTTGTTCCTCTGGGTTTTGCACATGTATTAGCCACCCCTCCCTCCTCACCCTCCAGTTACTCCATTGTGATCAGATCTTCTGCATTGTGTTTTCCCATCATGACTGCCACTTCCAACAGGCAGCGCTTGCTAGCATCCTCACTGTGGGATTCGCACAAGCCGTTTCCTCCTTTGGACAGGCATCTGACTCAGAGGCATTCCCTCTGAATTACTCTTAAGCTCCAGATGACCTCTAGGAGTAAATAATCAAACCCGAGAATGCTGTCAATCAGACCACTGAGAGTCCCTGGACAGTGCTTTGCTTCTGTATTTTTCCCCTTCCAAATTAGCGCAGGAGAGATGCTGACCTGCTGCACTTGCAGGTGAATGATGCAGAGGATCTCAGTGCACAGCTGATCAGCTCTCCAGGCTGTTCAGGCCAATAATACAGAGGAGGCGTTTTGTGTGAAAGTACAGACAGAGAGACCTTCTGCTGCCCAACTACCCCTCAGGGAAACAGATAATTAGAAGAGGGGGAAGAAAAAAAAAACCCAGATAGAAACAGCAGGTTTACTCTCCCACAGCCTAGCTAGACAACTGATGGGAGGGAGGAGGGCACGAGGAATGTAGAATCCGCACCTCACGGGTTTCCCGCTTTCAGCTCATCTTCAGCCTAGCAAACATGAAGGCTCATCAGCACTGTGCAGCCAGTGCTGAGGTACTCCAATGGGAGCACAAAGGAGGACCAGTAAGCCACATGCACCAGTCCTTGGCTAATCCTGCAGCAGAGCAGGGACAGCATCATGCACCAATCCAGAGCAGCTGACTGCAGGCTCTTTTCCTTACCTCTGTGTGTTGCCTGACGGGGAGTTCCTCACTTTGGGGTTACTGGAATGCATTGACAGAAATCCTGAGCTCACAGTCTCACACGCACGCAGATGGGCTCTCGTCAAGTTCCTCTGGGGAGCGTGCTGCCAGAGGCAGCGTCGAAGCACTTTCTGCCACCCGCTTCTCTCAATGCTGGCTGTCTGCTTGCCTTTTTTCTCTTTGCTCCTCTCTGGTTTTGCACTGGGCACTTCCCTCCTGCAGCTCCAGCATTCTCTAGACGCGTGCCTCCTGCTGCCCAGAGGAAGTCTCGCATCTCCAGGGCACACTGTTAAAACCACCCCACAAGAAGAGAACAGAAAACCAGTGAGGAACTTTCCAAGCAGATGTGTCTGGTGTGAAGCAGTAAATGGCAATTCTTCCCCCATTACTGAGAAGACACAGGAGAAGAGCTTTCAGATGGCTCAGTACAGCTGTGTACTTCAAACCGGAGGCAGCCCTGGCTGGCCATTCAGTTTACAGGCAGTGAGGCCACCTTCCCTTCATACAAAGCAAATCACTCTGGAGTCAACAAAACAGGGAAATGCCTTGTATCTGGACACTTTGACTCCGCATCTGTGTTCAACTTGAAGACACCTCACAGCAAGTCAGTAGGAAGCCAAAACTACAAATCCCCAACATGACTTAGCTATCCAGAATTCCCCTGTGAATGGCCATAATCTGATATTTCTTAAGAACATAAACTCTGCTCAGATCTTTTCTGTCTCCTTGGTCCAATATAACTAGACATACGTTCAATAAAGTGTGCTAAGGGTCGCACAAAGGGAGGAAAATAAAATAAAATGCCTTCCTGACCACCTGTATGCAACCAGCTATGCCATGATCACTCTGAAAATACCAGAGGTTAGTCACTCGTTATATCTATTAGAAAGGCCAAAAGATCACTAGAGGATTACCCCTCTAAATTTGCTCAGCAACACTATACAGACTATCGAGACTTAAAAAAAAACCAAACCCCACACAAAACAAAAAAACAAAACCAAGCACTTTTTCAGCTTCTTTCTAAGAAACAATATGCATGACGCAGGCAATAAGGCACATAAAACTGTTTCTGGAGGAGGAAACTATTGAACATTACTGTTTACATCCTTTGGGCTAAGTTATTTTGGAACGAATTTCTGTCTTGTTTATGTTTCAACAAAATCTCTCCTGTTCATCTCACCTACTCAGATGCAAATCCACTTAATTTAGAATCTAACCAAGATTTATTGTTAATGTATTAAGCATTGCTAGTTAAATATTATTCAAATGTAAATATTCCCAGTATTCCTTCTCAGCACCAAAGAAGCAGTTTCTTCCTGTGTATATCAAATGAAATGAAATAAATCTCACCAGGCTGGGAGTGTCTTGAATTTTATGAAGAAACTACTGCTCAAACTGCATTTAGAAAGCAAAAATTGGTTTGCTTACATGCTGACACCAGAGAATTAAGAAACACAGGCACTATATGACCACCTCTGGCCAAGGAGAGTTATCAGTAACTTGTGGTACTGAGCACCATGGCTTTCCAGTTCCCCAAATTTGTCTTGTTGTGAGGTTGTGCCATTACACTTTTTAGTGACTTTGCAGCACTGCTGCACTTTAACATGATAGTGCTCCACACTGCAGTTGTTCCACGAAGCTCTGCATCATCTCCAAAAATTCTCCTCTCTACCACATGCCTCCTTCACGACCCAGAAAAATCATCCTGCTCCCTACTCTCACCTCCACTGTGCTGCACAAACCCATTAATGTGGGGGAATGTTTCTGCAATAAAGGTCTGATTTTTAATGCCTCCTATTAATGCCTGGGCACAATCAGATGAGCTCCAGTCTGAGCCACGCACTCCACAGGATCCACAAGTCTCTCTGGGGCTATCAGCTGGTTATCCCACTGATTTCTGAGAACAATGTTGGAGTTAATCTATTACTATTGTTACTACTGTCATGCTGTAAGTGGAGCTGGTGCTATACAGATACGTTAAAGACAAGAGAGAACATCTTAACAAGTATCTAAATTGTACCATCTCTGCATGTAGATTTTGTTCCTATGTCTGTTTTGACAACAAAACTGTAACATTATCAACAGCACCCAACTCCACTTTTCAGAAGAGATTTATGCATCTGTAACAGTCAGCGGAACTCAGTGATACTTAGGGGTCCTCACTTAAGGTGAAAGTGTGACTGAAAACATGGTGAATTTCAGGTAAAAAAAGAAAAAAGGAACAATAGCATTAAAGTGAGCAGAGCTCAATGCTAAAAGCAGGATGCAGATGCCTATGTGATGAACTTAAGTATTCTAGTTGTTTCATCCTCTGCTTTTCCACTTTTGATGTTTATGCATTATCATGTTACCTTTTATTACAAGATAAGAATTTTCTCATACTCCCAGTCTTGCACAGTGCAATGAGAAAACACGAAAAACAGAATCAGGATCACACTGGCTGCACAGTATTTCTGACATCACCAAACTTTCAAGTATTTCACAAGGGGGAAAAACCTCCAATTTTTTAACCGTACTTTTTTATTATCCTATATACATGTATCTTCCATCTATCAGAATTGATACGCTTTGCAAGAGAACTGTATTTTCCAATCTTAGTTTAAATTTCTTCTTACCACAGAAAGCTATAAAGGATATATCAATATATTCGTTGGTGGAACAACAGCAACTCAACTTCCTCTGCTTCTCATTTCTGCACACTGGGAATGTACCATCTTCTATAACGTGAAATGGAATGCTTCATGATTTTTCTAAATGCACTTCTAGCATATGTGTGTCTGCAAATCTAGGGTTCAATAATGGAAAAGCTCTAGAGAAATGTATTTTTGCAGCTGGAGTCTGCCTGACATAGCAAAACCTTTATGTCTAAAATTAGAGGTAGGGTCATTGACAGTCAAGCCACTTTTCAAGACATTTTGGCAAGCTACATCCAAGGCTGTATTTTCAGGACTGCTTTAAGGTAGGCCAGCCAATGACTGCAGGGAAAAGAGATGGTTCAACTGTCTACTCATTCTCACCACCTCTCTCCTGACCAGATCAGGGAAAGACCTGAATGGGAACTAACCCAAGGGAAACAGCAGAAATCTCTATTCAGCTGGATCAATCCCCTGATCTGGTTGATCATGTAACCACATCAGTGCCACTGCAAGCTCAAAGGAGGAGGTGAGAACAGGTGAAAAGTAGCCTCACCCCACTTGGTTGCAGTTTACAACTTGGATGGCTTAAAATTACTTCAAACCTCAAATTGCAGAGACAAAAGAGGTGGTCCTGCATTTGTGGAGATACGATAGGTCCTTGCCTTTCCAACAAGTAGCTTACCAAGACCCCTGGTGTCACGACACGGCAGTACTCATTGTGGAGGCCATGAGTTGCAAACCACTCGTCTCACAAGAAAAGATCACCTGCAAAAAGAAGAGAGAGGAAGAGTTTCACCAACCAGAATGCACAGTCAAACCATGCGTCCCTCCCATGCATCCAGCCACAGAAGCAGAGGAATCAAAACTTGCTCTGAATGACTGACAAGTGGAAGCCTCTGCTCAGACTGGCAAGATTTGTCAGCACCAGAAAAGCCACCATCAGACTGGAAGAGTCCAAAGATGCATGCTGCACATGGAGAGGAAATAGGTCAGACCTGCTTTAGCACTCCCACATTTGAGCTAGCTGGATTATTCCCATGAGCTCATCTGTGCTTAGAGAAGCTGGCACAAAGCTCAGACATGTAACCTCCCCTTCTCTGCACCCATCTCTCTTCAAAGGCTCACCTTCCCCTCACTATGAGCTCAGCAACTTCTGCCAAACCCCTGTGCTTTGTATGTAAAACCTCCTCCACAGCCAGTCAACGTATAAATAAAAACATCAAGCATCAGGTAAAGCCAGGCAATCGCTCAGTCACATCTAGGGGAAAACCAGGCAGGGTTTAGAAGGAAGAAGCTCTATCTACTGTTCTGGCAGCTCCTACTTCACATCATTGTGATACACTACAGGGAGAAGGGAATCCAACTGCAAACCTTCCCAAATAAGACATACTGCAAGTTTGCTCAAGATAGAGGGGTTAGCCCCACCTTGCACTACGGTTATTTCCTATAAGGCCAAAAGAGTTCATGGCCCAAGAACCAAATCAGCCACACTTTCAGTAATGGGGACAGCGCTGCATCAATTAATGTTTACTCACACATTAAAACAAGTTTAAGTGCCTGAAAGTTCCATAATGCAAGGAAACGCAGACTCTGAGGGATGGCTCTGGTAAATTTGAGGTCAGTAAAGAAAGACAGAGCAGCTACCTGCTAGCTTCTCCCTCACCCACCACGAAAACCGGAGAGGCTGCAAGAACAGCGTGAATCCAGACAACATTCACACCGTTGGGGCCAGTGTGGTCTCTTGGAGCACTCTGAGCTATATGCACAGCACAGACAGCCTTGCAGTTAAAGCACGACTGCAAACTGAAATCACTACCAGAGGTTTTCTGTGTAATCCCAATGCATTCTGCTGACCAGATCTCCCAACAGGAACACAGGAGCTGTTGCGAGGCTCAATTAGTTACGCATTGTGAAACCCTGTGCATATTCTCTTCCCTCCAACATTCTCCAACTATTATCTACTGCAGCTTCACCTTAATAATGTAGCATTGCGCTGCCATGTAATCCACTTCAACAAAACCAAACTACAAAGCTCGTCCCAAACAATGCAGCTACATTCTCCACCCAGTCCAGCCAAATCAAACAATGAAATCATCAACGTGATAGACCATCCTTATCTAGCCAAGTCATACCTGCAGACAGAAGCTGAAACAAACACCTATCGCAACAAGCTGCTTCATCCAGTAAAACCTACCACAGCAGCACAATCATCCCTGAATCCAATTACCCAGTTGTATCTCCTCTCCCCTTTCCCCCACCCCACCCAACAAAACAATACAGGCTAAACCATGCCAGTGCCAATACTGACACACCTCTATCAAAGCAGCAACAAAAACCACCTTTTCCCTTGAAAGGGAAAACATGTGAACACCAGCACAAATCAGGATGGAGCGAATCTATCCCAGCAAACACTCGGGGCTCTATTGCTTGAAACATTCAAGTTCAACTTGGCAAAGCACTGGGGCAAGGGCAGCCTTATAGACCATAGCTCAGGACTGCGAGAGGGACACAAATGATCAGACATGATCCATCTTTAAGGCTGCTAAGCCCGGTTACTGCAATGTAATTCCATCCCCTAGCCCACCATCTCTGCTG